ATCTCACTCATTAAGTAGTAGATAATAACAACAACAAACAAACACATAGAGACAGAGATTGGATTCGTGGTTACCAGTGGGGAAGGGGGGAGGGAGGAGGGTGAAAAGGATAATTCAGCACATGGGTGTGGCGATGGGTTGTAATTAGTATTTGGGTGGTGCACATGATGTAATCTATACAGAAATAGAACTATAATGATGTACACCTGAAATTTATACAATGTTATAAACCAATGTTACTGCGATAAACAAAAAATTTAAAAAAAATAAATAAATAAAAATAAAAATAAAGTCAAGTTATAGGAAAAATGTAAATTAATATATTAAAGTAGTTAACACTATACACAATTGTGTTTACCAAACAACTCACAACAAACTTAATTGATACTGTTGAGGCCAAGCAAAGATAATCCATAATTGAGAAGCAGGAATAACAGTTCTTTTTAAAAAATTAATCAATTAATTTTTTTTATTGAGGTAACTGGTTTATAACATTATATAAATTTCACGTGTACATCATTATATTTTCATTCCTGAGGAATAACAGCTCTTAAAAACCATGACCTCCGGGGAAAAGTGGGAATTCCCAAAAGCAGGAATTTCAATTATCTTCAAGCGTGCATGAACAGGAGCTTTACAATGTTGCACATAGAGATGACGAATAACCATTCTTGGTAAACTTAAATAATGTGCTAATTTTAATTTACAAATTCACATTAGTAACCCCTAATATCTTTCTTGGTAGCTTCCTAATAGGTAACACTTAGTTGTATGTAAAAATAAAAACGTATAAAATTGCAAGTTATTTTCCCATGATAACTGAAGAAATGACTTGTGTGTTTGCATCATTTAATGATCCATTACGAATATCCTTGAGCTCTACCATTGGGCCATGGATCATGTTGGTCTAGATTTTTCAAATATAATCTATCATCACAAATACATCTTAGTCATAAATGTTTGGTTGCAAGGAATGGAAACCCACCTGTATTAATTTCCTAGGGCTGCCACAACAAAGTACCACAAACTAGGTGGCTTAAAACAGCAGAAATTTATCGTCTCACAGTTCTGGAGGTTGGAAGTCTGAAATCATTGTCAGGGCCATGCTCCCTCTGAAGGCTCTAGGGAAGAATCCCTTGCCAGCTTCTGGTGGCCCCAGGCCTTTCTTGGCTTGTGGCAACTTAACTCCAATTTTTGCCTCCGTCTTCACATGGTAGTCTTTTTCTTGTGTGTCTCTCTGTGTCCCCTCCTCTTCTTTTAACGATACCAGTCATTGGATTTAGGGCCCATCCTCATCCAGTGTGACCTCATATTAACTAACTTTCGAAGACCCTATTAACAAATAAGGTCACATTCTGAGTTCTGGGTGCATATGAAATTTGGGGGGACACTGTTCAATCCCTACATGACCCAAGCCAGCTCAAGTCAAAAGATGTTTTAAGATTCAGGTTATCATAGAACCCAAGGAAAAGCTGAACTGTCAGGCTTCACAAAGTGCAGGAACCAAGCAGATCCATGGTTTTGAGTAGCAGAAGTTCATGATCTTTAGTCTAGGCTCCACCATATATATGACAAAGCTGTGGAAGGAGCATATTTCCCATAAAACACAGACAAGTGTAATAAAAGTCTGCTTCTCTTCTATATGGTTACCACCTGATTCAGTTTCAAGGAGCCTTATTGTAGTTATCTGGGAAGAGAATATGATTGGTTCAGCTTGGGTGTCGTGCTCACCTTTGATGCAATAAGGTATGGCCAGGTCTTGGGGTGGTGGGGAGGCGATGGTGGGGAGGTCACAGTGGCTGTGGGCAGGAGTAGATTCTGTGATAAGGGACTTAATCAGGGCAGGCATTTTGACCCACATGTCAATATTAAATGAGCCCCTAGAACAGTGCTTGGCACAAAGCAGATGCTCAAAAAATATTATTGAGTGAATATGCTACAAATAATGATCTGATCTTCCTCAGTTAAATAGTGTTTCTACATTTTAAAAGCTCTTCCACACAATCTTATTTCATTCTTTTTACAATCATGAGAAGTAGATATTATCATTTCTATTTTCAAACAGGAACTTTGAGGCTCAGAGTGGTTAAATAAATTGTTTTGGACAAAAGCTGGTAGGTAGGAGAGCTGGAATTTGAACTCAGATCTTCTCTAAGGTCAGTGCTCTTTTGAGGGTAGCACTCCTTATTTCATGATGGTGTTGCTTGGACCTGATAGTTTTGACACCAGTGAGAAGGTAGGAAAAAGGAGGGATGATGGCTCAGCTCCACCTTTATAAATGTTCTGAAGGGAGGGACCACATCTCACCAAACGAGTCTGGTAAAGGTAGGGTCCCTCCCAGCTCACAGGTGTGTGTTTAAAAAATGCAAGATAAACATCAACCCAACATTCCACAAATGATCTCCTATCTAACATTCAATGTTTTTGGCAGTTTTTTCTCTCTTTCCTCTGATTTGTCTTTTTTTGTCAGAATGCCTGTGTCTGCTTGTGTTTCTCTAGATGTGTTAAGTTCATTCCTCGTGCACACCATACCTTACCTCTGTAGAATGCCTTTCCCATTTCTCCAGGCTTCAAGCTCTTCTATTGGCTACCTCCTTCCAGCCTCCTTCTCCAGTCTTACCTCTAAATATAAGAATCCTTTACTTTTGCTGGTTTGGCCTTCACCTTTACTTTTGCATGGTTTGCAATTACTCATGCTAATCACCCTGCCTGTTGACTCTCTCTGCCTTTCCCTCTGGGTACTTTCCCTGCTGGATCCTTCTATAGATGTTCACTTTTCCCCAGAATTATTACCTATTCTACTCATATTGCATGTAGTTAACTATTTTTTTGTGTTATCATTTGTCTTTTTAGTGTAAGTATCTTTCACTCCAAATAGAGTGGGGGTACCTTGAGGGTAGGGGTCCTGCACCACACTTTATATTCAAGCACACAGGCCACGAATTAAACAAGATAGTCAAGAAAACTTTGTTGATTATAATGTACCCATAACTCTACTCAAATCCATTTTTAAGACAAGGGCTCTGATTTATTCTTTATTTTGCCTCTTTTGTGACTTATATGCTTAAGTCTCACTTATATTTTACATGTAGTGATGAGCTCCGAATCTGGAGATAAAGGAGCTGTGTTCAAATTCTGTCTCTGTCTCACATTAGCTGTGCAGCCTTGGACGAGTCACTTAATTTTTTTTGTTGTCAGTTTCTTCTGCTATAAAATGGGATACTAATACCTGTCCTAGCCCCTCACAGTGTTGTTGTGAAGACCAAATGAGCTAGTGTCTGTGAAAGAGCTTACCAAACTATAAAGCCTGATGTAAGGGATTATGAACACTGTCTCATATGCCTCCCCCTTTCCGTGTTTTATGCTTTCATCTTTCTGAGAAACAGTTGTTTGTGGGCAGGGATTACGTAGCATTCTCGCTGTAGCATTCCATCTTACTCCTTAGCATAGGACACTACACACAGCTTGCGATGGGCTTTAGTGAGATGTGAACAGTCCCTAAGCCTCATTCTCACTAACAGATACGTTGGCTCAGGTTTCAACAACTGCCAATTACCTGAATGCCTTTTATTCGCTTTTTTCTGGTACAAAAAGCCTTCATTTATTTGCTCATTCATTGATTTACTCATTTAACAAATTTGTTTTGAGTGTCTACCATGGGCCAGGAAGCACAGTAGATGTCCGAGGAGCAAAGTAAGCACCTCAAGATATTATCATTAGACTGAGTAAAACAGACACACAACTAATTATAGTAGATAATAAGAACTATAATAAGATATGTACACTGTGTACAGAGCTGGGAAAGGTCCTTTCTGCCAAGGGAGGGAGATATGTGTCATGAAAGGCTTCAGATGGTGTGCCCATCTGTCTTTAAGGCTGGGTAGGTGGAGAAGTAAGGTAGGGCAATGAAACAGCTCCAGCAAAACAAAAGCACTCTGGGAACCACAGGCAGCTCAGCCAGTGATTTCACTCCTCTATTACTGTGGATTGAGTACCTATTATGTGTCAGACCATTATGCTGGTTGATGGGGTTACAAGTGTCAGTGTAGACATCACAGGGGTGGGATGGTGAGGTAGCAAAGGAAAACTAGCCAGATGATGCAGAGCCTTGAACAACCATTTTACTCCATACTAGTATATATAGGAAAGGGTTAAAAGAATAAGTGAACCTGCTGCTACCAACTCCTTCATACTCACTGGAGCCCTTTAACCATGGAAGGTAGCTACAGTAATGGGCTTACTGCAGACTGGGCAGGGCTGTCTTAAAGGACAGGTTAACAGAGACCTAAGTGACAAGAACAATCACACTGGAGGAAATTCAAGTAGTGGATAAACACGTGAGAAAATGTGCCACCTCATCAGTAATTAAAGAAACACAAGTTCAAACAAGTTGGGACCTAGTAAGCAAGAAGACAAAGTAAAAGAACATCTAAGGCTGTTTGAGTGATGGGGAAGCAGGCACTTGAGAGAAGCAGGACAAAGGCAAAAACCTGCAAGGTAAGAGTTCAGTGGGGAAACAGGGATTCTGTGTGCCGCAGCCGAAAACGGGGATTAGGAGTGGAAAGCGCGGGGGGCACGAGTCACCGCACCAGTGGCCCGCGTCGGGCGGTGAGGAAAGGGGCAAGGCTGTTCAAGCAAGACAGGTTCATCCTCGCCTAAGGCAGGAGGCCAGGCGCTTGGCCGTCTCCAGGCAACCAATAATCCCGCCCTCTCCAGAGTGACTCCTTTCGTAATTGGCTCACGAATCCACCAATGAGAGCACAGAAGGAGCTTCCCGCCACCTCTGGCGCCCGCTTTCAAACAACCGTACATTTGCAACTGCAGGAGGACTTCTCAACCAAACTTGAGAAAGGCGGAGACTTCCGCCTCCACGCCCCTCCCCGAGCCAGCATGGCCCCGCCCACCGGGCCAGCTTCTAGCCGGCGATTGAAGGAAGCGGCTGCTCCTCAAAGGCCTCAGGGCTCCATGTGTTCGGTTGTGACTAGGAAGGAGCTAGCGGATTAAAGCCAGGGTAAGGGGGTTTGCTACAAGTTGGTCTTCGGCCGGGGCTAGGGTTTCCCCGCGGTGACAGCATCCGTGGCCTCCGGTGAGTTTTGCTTCGCGGCTGGGCTTGAGGCTGGGGTTGGAGGAGGTGCAGGGTCCTCGGGATTCTGGCTGAGGTCTTACGGAGATCTGACCCGCCCCCTCCCCAAATCCCGCGGTGGTGGACTGCCCGCGGGTTGCGAGGCAAAGCCTCGGACTTTGAAGTGTCATCGAGACCCCAAGATCCTACTTAGAAGCGACGTCTGGGAAGACCTCCTCGCTTCCTCCAGGCTGCTGGGGTAGCCCTGAGACCCAACCCTGGTGACCCCGGCGTGGTCACCCTGGCGCCGCGTCTGGCTCACAGTGGGTGCTCTGTACACGTGTGTTGACGGAGTGCCTGTGACGCTGGCAGCCAAAGCCAGCAGCCCCAGGCATCCTGGGTTCCGTGCAGCTTCGGTCTCGCGGTACCTCTTTGTTGTGCCGTAGTTGACGCCAGACGCCGTTCCTCGGTAAGGCCATTGATTTATTCGTTCTTTCAGCCTGTGGGTGCCTACTCGCTGCATCCTCTGGGCACCCTGAATCGACCTAAGTTGCTGTCTTGAGCACTGATCACAGATTACTGTCATCATTTGTTTATATGTCTATTTTCTTTCCCTCCACCAAGTCCTGTTAAACTTTGTAATCTTGAACAGTGCTTGATAAATAATTGTTGAATGAATGAAAAGGCTTCATAAACCTGGTATTGCAAGTCTAAAATAGACTAGTGTGCTCTGGCTATTTCCATTCTAGAAGGGAAGCGAGCATGTAAGCAAGTAAGTAGAATTTCCTAACTCCTAGGGCACTTATAACCCCCCTTTGTGGCCTTTAACCTTTTCTATCTTATAGTCATGAACTTGAGTCTGATTTAAGCTGAATTTTGCCATATCCTTAACAATGTGTGACAGTTTATATGCACTCCCTGGATATGTGAATGCACTCAACTAAATAAGAGAGGCTGAAATTGAAGCCATAAGAAAAGTAGAAGAAATATAGTCTGAAAGTGCAAAAGAGTGACTAATTCCATGGGGGAGCAGGATTGGTAGGGCATCTTGAAGGAGGGGGCATTTTCATGCCAGAAGAGGTTGCATTATTTGAAGTAAGGTTTCCCGTAGGCTGCGCATTCACCTTTTCTCAGATACACTGGATGCTCTTTGTTCCTTTAACTTCTTTTGTAGCTGGTAGACTCCTGTTCATCAATAATGTCATAATAATAACAAAACTAAAATGTATTGATTGGTACATAGTGCTAAGCACGTTTTGTGCATTATTTTGTGAATCCTCATAACCCATCTTTGAGATAGGTGCTGCTTTTACCCTCATTTTATTAGCGAAGAGATGGAAACAGTTTACTCAAGATTGCACTGCTGATAAATGGAAGAACCAGAATTGAGCCCAGGTGGTCTGAATGAGAGCCCTCATTCTTAACCCACTTACAGCTGTACTGTGTCCTTTAGGATCTGTTTGTAATCTAAAGTCTCTTCTTTCTGTGAAACTTCTCTTAGCCTTCCTTTCTTCTTAGGCAAAGTTATTTGTGCTCTGTACTTTCTTCTATTACAGAATTTATTAGACTGTGTCATTGTAACTATTAATTTATATGATTGTTTCCTTATAAGGGACTGGAAGCTCCTGATGGCTGGTACCATGTCTTAGATACATTAGGATACAACCCGGGACACAGTAGGTGTTCAGTAGAATTTTATTGAAATAATGAATCTGAATAAGGCAACATGAATGTATCATATTCATTCAGCAGGTATTTGTTGTGTGCCTACCATGTGCAAAGGGTGGGGCAGATACATTTTAATTCTGCCTTCAGGGTGCTTTTAGGCTAATAGATGAGGCAAAAACAATGCTACTTTTGCTTTTTAATGTTTTGACCAACTAAAAACCCATTGGTCTTCGCATTGCAAGGAGGGCAGAGAAAACGTAACGAGGGACAACAAAATGAGTACAGAGCCTGAGCCCTTCCAATCTGAGTGTAACTGAGGAGAACATAGTCTTGTTAATACGTTCAGAAAAGGTTGTCTACCTAGGAAGAAAGTATTAACCAGCTTGCTATTAAAAAAAAGCATACTGTACACTTATTCTGCATCTTGATTTTTTAATGATCAGTCAATAAATTTAGAAATATTTCATTATCTTTATTAGTGGCATAGTATTGCCAAATTTATTCAGAAGCACTTTTACTAGGGCAAATGTTCTTTTTCAGTATGCATATTAATATTGATAGTTTTCAAGATGGTTTTCGTAGTTCATACTTTCACCAATAATTCATGAGGATGTCTGTTTCTTACAAAATAACCACCACTAGGTGTTACCAAGTGTTTTTTTTTTCAATTTAGTGGTTGAAAATCATATTTCATTGTTTAAATGACACTTTGAATTCTTCATGAGCTTAAGCATCTTTTCAAGTTAATTGAGCATTTACATTCCTTTTTTTAAATCAGTTGTCATGTCAGTTGCCCATTTTAAATTGGGTTGTTTGTCTTTTTTTTCATTTCTTTGTGAGAATTGTATATTGGGACTTTGTCATGTGTTTTGCAAATATTTTTGTTGTTATTTATTATTACTATTTTATCTTTTGACTTTGTTAGTGATGTATTTTTCCATACATAATATTTGATTTATTAATGATGTCTTTTGCCAAATACAAATTTTATTTTTTTGTAGTTAAATTTCTGTCAAGGTTTTCCTGTATGGCTTCTGGGTTAACTGCCTCATTTTTTTTCTAGAGCACTCTCTTGTATTGTTCCGAATGTTAAAGTCTCTGATACTGGTGGTAATTAGTAGTGATTAATAAGTTGAAGAAAAGCATTAGCTTTTATTTTAAATTTTAGTTATAATACTAATTACCTTTTTACTCTTCCCCATCCCCCCCGGCCACAGTAAGTTATCAAATTTCCCTTTATGCCTAAAGTAGTTTCTTAAGGTCTCTGGTAGTTTGCATTTCTCAGAAGGAAAACTTATTTGTACCTTTTCTTCCTCAGTGGAGAGAAATTTTGGTCTTTTCAGATATTTTCAGATTTCTTCTTTAATGACATAGTTTGGATTTAAAATGCCATTCAAGAAAAGATACAGTTCAGTCTTTTACATTCTCTTCACTTAAAAATGAAAATACCTTGTAGAATTCATTATTCTTTATCTGAGAAAAAGTAGCTCTTTATTTAAAATAGCTGTATTTAGCAATAGGCTCTTGTAAATCTTAATGTTCTTTTTCCATATTCAACAGGAATTGATGGCAGGTTAGTGAAGGATTGGAGACAAAAACCCCTCTCTTCTTTTATCTAATAAAGAAGAAATTAACCCAAATTCCATATTTTGGCTTTACCTATAAAATGCAGGAAGAAGTAGAGAATACTATAAGAATCAGAAACAGGAAAGATTATTTCTGCCTGGCGAATTCAGGGATGTTTTTAAGGTCTACCTTAATCTCATTTCTTTTAAGGAACCAGGATTTAAATGGCGAGTGTTTCCATTATTTATAGATCCTGTAGACTTGATGTTCACTTGTGGTAGTGAAAAAAAACCCCAGAGACATGATCATGTGTGAATGTTTTTCCCTCACCATTTCAGATGTATTGTAGGCTCTTTACCATATTCAGATCTCCATCTTAAGCTGTTATACAAGAGGGTTCTTGTAGCTGTTGGGTGGAGACAAGGTTTAGAATCCCGAGGCTTATGTATTTTCCCTCTCAGTGAAAGAGCGCACACGTCCCTTCCTCCTTTTAGCTCTGGCACGGGAATAGGAAGGAGCAGGTCTGGTCTGAGAGGCGGGGGCTGGAAGGCTCCACATTGATGTGAGGCATTTGAGTTGATAAAATTGAAAGGGATGGGCCGAGCATAGGCGCCAGAGAGGGAGGGATACAGAAGGTGGACTGCAAATTAGAGTTTGGCCAAGAAACATAACCCAGTCCTTGAAAAACAAACAACAACTCGGCATATGGGGATTTTCAGCATTGAAAGTCATATGTATTTTAATCGGTAATACCATATTTCATCTATTCTAAAGTGCACATTTTCTGTTCACATTTTAACATCTACAAAGTCAGCCTGCATTTTAAAATTAATGATGTCAGCCACATAATTTAATTGGCCACATCTTTTTCTTAGCGGTACAAGCAGAACTGTGTCGTACAGTCAAGGGCCCTCTGGATCTGATGAAGTGGAATATCTTTTGCTACAGAGCTGTTGGCTTACATAAAAGTTTGGGATCCTAGTTCTCAGCTGTTAACAGGAGGGAGCTAAGTTCTTTATGGTAAAACACGTTTGGATTGCTGGGTCTATGCTTCTTATTTCACTTCCAATTTAATGACATGTTAGAGCCTGAAAAGTGTAGTGAATGAGTTGTGGCTCAGGCTCACATCAAAGGGCATTTCATTGGCATGCACCAGAGAGGACTGAATGGAGGGCAGTATTAGGCTGGGTAATTGATGACGCCTGCCTGCTTTTTGTTGGGATTGTTCAAAGCTTTGAAATTCTGGGTAGTTTCTGTGTAGTGTCAGGATCCCTAAGTATAACTCAAATCACCAGCAGGCCTTTGACCGTAAGTACTTGAAAACCCATCTCCTGCTGCTGCTTCTGCCACAGCAGTTACCATTCTCCAGGGAACTCTTGCTGTTGCTTTTGGAATTGGAGCTCCACGGTGGTACAGCTTCACAGCCTTCACTTCTGTTTTTCCTGAGTAGTTTTTGCTAGAACCTGATTTTATCAAGCTTAAGAGCAGGACATTTAACACTTATATTTTTGTTGGGTGTTTTATGGAGTTTATCAGATTGTAAATGGTTTTTGGGTAGTGATCATTAACTCAGGATTCAGTGGCTCTCTTTTTATAAAACATGACATTTGGATTTGTGATATTCAAAGGATGAAGCAAATTGTGGAGAATACTGCCTGTGCTATATTTAATAATAAATTAGAAAATTTGAGTTATTCTTAAAAATTTTATGTTTTGGTACATTTCTAGTTTATTATTATTATCTTTTTTTGTGTGGACAAAAATCTAACTAAGTTACACTTTCCAGACTGCTAGGAAGGTCTAGTCATAGGTTTATTAGCTGTTTGCATTTTTTCTTTTCTGTGAATTGCTGTCATATAGCTATTTTCTGTGAATCATAATTAATTTGTAAGAACTCTCTATATTTGGAATACTAGCCATCTGTCATACATAAGTTACATATATCTTCTCCCCAGCTGCTGTTGTGTTTCTGTGTATGATACCTCTTGTGTAGTTTGGTCTGGGGAGCTTTTATGGGATATTTAGAAACCAAACATCTTTCTTTTCCCACAGGAGGACCATGTCATTAGACTTTGGCAGTGTGGCACTGCAGACACAAAACGAAGATGAAGAATATGACAAAGAAGATTATGAAAGGGAGAAAGAGGTAAGTTACTCAGAAAAAAGACTCTAAACCCAAACTTAATTTTATTTCCTGATCAAAATTGTATCATCTTTTGTCATTTTGAAGGAATTTGTAATTCTTTTTTTTTTAACATGTTTTCTACTCTTTTTCTTTTATAATTTTATTTATCCCCCCAAAGCCCCAGTAGATAGTTGTACGTCATAGCTGCACATCCTTCTAGTTGCTGTATGTGGGACATGGCCTCAGCATGGCCAGAGAAGTGGTGCGTCGGTGCACGCCCGGGATCCAAACCCAGGCCACCAGCAGCGGAGTGCGCGCACTTAACCGCTAAGCCACAGGGCCGGCCCGGTATAATTCTTTTTTTTAAGTCCCTAAAACCTGATCAGCATTTGTGCTTGTAAAAGATGGATGAGTGGAATGCTTCCTTTTTTGAGACAAGAATAAAATACAGCTGTGAATGATGGCATCAGGTGAATGGTTAGATTCTTTAAGATCTTTTCATTGAGAAGGTAGTGGTTGGCTTTGGAGGCAGAGGTCTAGTTTCCAGTTGCTTGGAACATTGCCTGGAACAAGTCCAGCAAGGTTCTTTGCTTTGGGTAGCTTATATCCTAGTGGAGGCAGACAATAAACAAGTAAACGAATGAAGTAATTTGAGTGAGTGATAATTTAGTACTGATAAATGATAAAGGAACAAAATAGGGTGATACTAAAGCAACTGTAGGGAACTGGTGAGGGAAGGTCTCTTGGAGGAGGAAATGCTTGAGCTAAGACTTGACTCATGAGAAGGAGCAGCTGTGCAGAAGCCTGAGGAGGAATATTCTAGGCCAAGACACCAATGAGTGTAAAGCCCAGAAGTCGGAGAGAGACCCTGTGTATCTGCGGGATAACCAGAAGGCCGTGGTGTTGGGATTGTGTGAGCAAGGGGTGAGTGGTGGAGATAGGGTGAAGAGGAGCACTGAGGCTGGATCATGGTATGTCATGGTAAGATGTTTGTATTTTATTCTAGGAGCAATGGGAAGCCAGTGGAGGATTTTAAGCAGGAAAGTGATATCTGATCATATTTTTGAAAGATCTTTCTGAATGTTTCTTACTGAAGAAGAAAAGGAGTAAGAGGAGGAGATCATATTTTATATATATAAAGTGTTTAACAGAATTCTTGGCATATAGTAACTGTTCAGTAAATGGTGGCAATAGGAATAGTAGCAGTTGGTGGAAGTCAATTTACTTATGATTGTTTTAAGTTTGAGTTAAATTTCTTGATTGGCTATGATAACAAGCTTATTTTGTACTGAGGCTATGCTTGATATGACCCATTTTTTAATATGTAAGATAATCCTTTTTAATTGTTACTGTGGACCATTAGTATTAACAGGAAGCAAGGAATAGGGTCAATTGCCCATGCGGCTGGCAGTGGAGTTAGGGTAGAGACAGAAAACTGGCAGCTTGGTGGATTTTATTCATAGACACGTGTTGTTTGGTTGCACAGTGTTTTTAAAAAATTGAATCTATATTTAAAGATTGATTCTTGTAACAATCCAGAGTTTCTGGCTTGTCTTGAAATGTCCTAAGTCCTGGCCACATGTGGCCTGTGTCTGTGCATGGCAGCAGGCGGGCTGGAGCTGAGCGGTGGCTCCCCTTTCCCAGCAGGCCACGGTCCCCACCTCTCACACAGACGTGGGCTTCTGTATGTACTTGGACCCCCAGCTTCATTGCTCTTGTAAACTCTCTGCCAGGTCGTTGAGGGCACTGGAGTTTGTGACCCTGACCAGGGTTTCTGGATTTTGATGGAGTCCTTCACAGCAATTGTTGTAGCAAGGAGGGGGATGAGGATTTTCTGTTACTTTGTGAACTCACAGCATGAAGTTTTCATGACGCCAATGGCTTTGGATAGTTCACTGGAATTTAGCTACTGGGATTCTTGAGAGAATCAGTTTAAGTAATTACTATAGTAGACTTTAAAGAAGAAGAAAAAATAATCTGACAGGTGATTTTTCATTGGAGAAGATGTTAGAGAGATGGGTAGGGTAATAGAGCAAACTTACTGTCAGGTGTATTGTGTGGTGAAAGTTTTAAAGGGGGTGTTAGTTAAGGAGGCAATTAATTCTAGATAATATAGGAAATAGCCATTGGGATCATTTTTTGATAGATTATGTGCTGGGGTAGGGAATTTACAGAGGAAAAGGAGCTCTTAAGAGGTGAAGTATCTAAGAGTGTTTCTAGCGGAGTGGAAGAAAAGAATATATAGCTAACTTGATTCTCACATGATTATGGTTCATGTTAATAAAAAGTATTTCTACCTTTTTTTTAATTGCTGCAAAGGAACAAGTGAGATCAGAGGCTAGAGAGTTTCAGATTTTCAGCGACAAAATTCAGAATTATTCGTAAAAATTCAGCCGCATGTATATTTTGTCACTGCAAGTTAAAATGATAAATGGGCTGATCAAACCTAAGTTTGTTTGCATATCCAGAAGCCTTTCCAACCTCCTTAGTCTCCCTGACCCTATGATAGCAGAACAGTTCACAGCCTTGAGAGAGAGGTTAAAGAAAAGAGCAGTCTTTTCCTGCCTGCCTGGTTGGTAGCTTTGGGATTGCCGGCTGGGTTATAAGTGTTAGCAGTGGGCTAATGCATAGTGCTTTCTCTACTTAGTGAATCACTTTGTATTCAGTTCACTTACGGTCGGAGGAATGCCTGTATCCCAGGGATGTGCTGTAGGGCTGGCCAAGCAGGCCACATCTGACTCGTGGTCTACCCTGCTACAGATCTATGAGATCCTCTCTCTGTAAATGGCAGAATAATCCTGATTTTGACCTTCTGGTATGAATAACCAGTTGCTAATACAACATACTTTACCCAAATGAGTATAATCTTGGTGCTTTGGGGTCAGTTGGGGTTTTGTCCACACTTGCCCATAAGTCAGTGAATAAGCCATTGTCAGGTTCCAACCTCCATGCCATTCTAAATAGCAGCTCTACAGTTATGATCTGGCCTTTTCCATTTATATTCCCTCCATTGTTTGCATTGTAGAGCAAATGGAGAAAGTACATTTAATCTTCAGAAAAGGCAAGGATTTAGTAAAGTGATTCAATATTCAGAAGACTTTTAGACCAGTGGAATCTCAAGCCACAGACCACCATGAATAGACCCATATTCTGAAAAAGCCTCCAAGAATTTTGCAGAAAAGTAAGGCACTATAATAACTTCTAAATTGCTACAATTTTAAATGGTATTTTGGTAAATGTTGGGCCACTGTGGGCCAAGGCATAGCAGACATAACCCACAGTCTCACCCAGTGTTTTCCCTGAAACTCCATCTCCTACACAGTAAACAGAACAGATTAGGGTGCAAGTGGATGAGAGTGATGATACCATGGAGATATGGTATCCTGTCAATTAATATTCATATCACTCATATTCTTCACAACTTATTGGAGCACATTACTTTCTTGCTGTACCATTTGAAAACTGATGTATTTGTCCTTCTTGCCACTAAGTAGACCTCATCCAAAGTATTCTAGGCAAACTTTTACTTGTAAAGCTGGCCCAAGGAAGAGGAATTCAAAAGTTCTTTTATGAACTCGTTCATAAGGTAACAATGTGATTTTGCCAAATATTTTTCACCTAAATTCGCTATACTTTGTGATTTGCTCGTCGGATATTACAGAGATATAGGTGTTGGTAGGAATGCTTGTTATAAGCTTCAAAGTTATTGGTAAAGCCACAGCTTAAGGTAGATGGTCATTTGGGATCTCATAGTTTGCTGGAGTATACATGTACTTTCTGCAGTGTCACCAGAAGTAGCTCTGTGATTATTGCTTGGTTCTAGATAGTAAAATTTTGTATGTATTTATGTATTTTGGAGCTGGTGGTTTGGGGGCAGAAGGACTTAGTAATCTGTGCTGTCAAGATAATACTTGCTAATGATGGTTCATTTAGTTATGATATATTTGAAACCTGGAAAACCACCTTGAATAGAAACGTAGGTGGTTTAAGTAGCAGATGACAGAACAGAAACTTGCACCTGGCGATACTGATTTGAGGCCCTCCTGGGTTTATGTTGGCACTTCTCTAATAGAATAATACAGCGCAATAGAGCTTGGAATCTTGTATTTTAGAGGTAATGTTTCCTTTGCATAGCCTTTCTTCCACCTTTTAACTGCCTTGTTTGTTGTAATTATGGAAACTTTTTGATATTTTGTCCCCACTAGAGGGAGTTGTAAAGCTAGTATTTGTTTACATTTTATATTATTTGACTTATTTAGTGGAATTTTCTTGTCATCACCCAAGAAAATCAAAGAAACAAATGGTTGAGTATTCGTATTACATTTTTTATGATGTTTTTCTTTAGCAATTTCTTATACTTTATCTAGATTGTGCCTTTGAATGTTTCCCATAATATACAGGTATCTTTCAAGGACTGTCACAATGGGAACAAAAACATCGAACTCTGGCAGACTGAAGCTTGATTGTATACAACCAGGTAGAAATAAATGTCCTCCAGGGACTGACTAAATGTCATGTAGAAGATAGGAGTGGGAATGGAGAGATTCGGGTTCTGGTGCCGCCTTGGAGACTGTAACTCTTACTTTTCCTGGGTATGCTCCTTACCTTCTCCGGCCCTGGTTTGCTCACCTTTAGAAGGAGCCGTTTGACTTGGAGGCGCTCAAGTGTTACTTCCAGGCCTCAGGGTCTATTATGTGTCATCCGTAGGCAGCCGATATTTGTCCAAAAAATGTTGCCGTATTTCTTTTTCAGATATGTGGCAACCTAGACAAAGTCTTCCCCACTAACATTATAAAATTTAGTTTAACTAATGGAATGAATTTTTTTTAATTCTGCACATAGTATAATTCATAAACTAAAACCCTAGCTGCCAAGTTATTTGGCCCTTTATCAATTCCATATTGGGCCTTTTCAAGGATGTTTTTAACTTTGCTGTTCAGTTAAAATGAAGAGTCTGCTTAGTGTGTATCCATGAAAGCATTATTTAATAATTCATATTTTAAAATAGCAGAATCTTTTCAGCGTACTTATGAGGTAACCTGTTGAAAAGGCGTATGAATGTCAGCTACTCCATTTGCTGCTTTTCTCTTGGGAGAAGATGTATTGTACTGTTTGTAATCTGACAACTTTTGCTTTCATGAGTATCGAGGATTATAGTCTCTGAAGACAGTCTGTTTAGTTAATTTAAGTTGAAAATCCTAACAAAAGCTTTGCGTGTTCTCTGTTTCACATTCCTCCTAAACATAGGTTTTTTGGATGTTCTTCACAGGTTATTGTAAAGTGTTTTCTTGCTGAAGTTCTTTGAGTAAAATACCCTCACTTTTTCCTTTCATTTTAGGGAAGAAACATGTGACTTAGTAAAAGGAGAGGAGTTTAAAGAATGGTTTAGAATGCATTTCAGTAAAAGCCTTAGCAATGGCAAATTATCTTTTTTCTAGGGAAAGTATCTCTTTAATCATTAAATCAGTTGATACACAATAATATCACACTGAGAAGATTGCATTTGCCACCAAAAAGCAGTCTGATGAATCTGACAAGTAAGAAGTGGAATTAAATCTTGTCATTTATGAGGATTGTTATCTTTGCCCTTGAGTTTGTATTTGATAGTTGGGTCCATCTTTAGCGAGGAAAATTTATAGTTTCTAAAATTCTCTATTTGGTAACATGCGTAAGTTGATATGATAATTCAGTATGGCACAAGGTTCTAATGACCAAAAGCAAAATCTAGTTGGCAGTGTATATGGGGAGGGCACACTTTGATTCTGGGAAAAGGAAGCATTGGGGGTGGGATTCTGTTCCTGAATGGCCTTATTAGGAGAACCCATCTCATTTAGCTTCTCTCTGCCCTGAAAGTAAAGAAATCTGGCCCAGCTATGCCAACGAACTTGATGGAGAAATTTTTTGAAGGTGAATGAAATGATTTAAAAATGTTAGCAAATATTTTATAAGACACTAAATACTCTAGGGATGATTTTGCTAGTTGGTAAGTTTACCTATGCATCCAGAAACATTTTGATGAACTTATTGCTAATGCTCAAATTAATTTCCTCTGTGGATGCTGATTTTGTGGTATCACAAAGAAAGCTACAAGAACTGCTTAATTATTGTGTAGCTTTTTCTGTCTTTGTGAGGGGGAGAAATGTACTGTTCAGGTGTCCCTGTCAAGGTTCCCCTGAATTATAAGGCCATGTACTTGAACCTCACTGAAGGTTTAGCAGAAAATATTCTTTCTGTACAGGACTCCTTACTTGATGTAGGTATAAAAGACTTATTTTGTTGTTATTTGTTCCCATATAATGTGTGGGGGTAGTCTTTTTCCTTAAAGCAGTGATGCATAATTATAGATAAAACAGGTTGGACTACTTTTAAAAGACCTCATAAATGTTTTTTTCTTAGTGAATTTTGTGTTTGTAAAATCACTTTGCTACCTTTCACTTGAGGCGTACAGGTATACATTTACTAATATGTCGATGTGTTCTGTTTTGTTTTTAGTGTTGTTTCTTATTTTTTATATCTTTGGGTCAACTCTGATATTGCTAATTCTGAAAATGATTTTTCAATTACCCTGTATGAGCAGGTGGCCAATAAATCAGGGTCCTGGTTGTTAATATTAGTATCAAATAAATTTTGAGATGAAGATAACTTTTCATTGGAATAGAATATTTTTCTCTTGTTTCATTTTTAAAGAACCAAATGGATTGAGAAAACTTTTTTTTTTTTAAATAATCCAGTGAATATTAGAAATATATGTGGGAGCAAGGAAGTTCCCAAATTTGACTTCACCAAAGCTCAGTTAAAAATTGGGGCATTCCTTTCAGACCTTTCTTGGAATATTTTTATTTAACTTTTACCATATGTATTTTGTTTAAAAAGTTTTTTGATTATTAATATATTACTCAGATATGTTTTATAGGTATATTTCATTTCTTTTATCCTAATGACAGAAAAATTGGGGGGAAAAAACCTGCCATAGACCAAGGAACATCTCCTTTTTTTCCTCCAGAGTTTTACGGAGAATTTAATATCTTTAGAATTCACTCACTGCATAATTTTATGGGATTGATTTTTATACTGTGGAGGGACTCAGTCAACTTGTTAATTTAACTGGTGCTTAATTTTAAAGAGAGGTCCTTATAGGCAGTCCCCCTAAAATTTAGTAACATAATATTTGAATCTTCTGATTGTTCAAATTTTAAGACATCATATTGGGATTTGAAGAAAGACATTTACAGAGAGATATTGAAATTCAACAAATTAGACAATTCATTCTTTACCACAGTTTATCTTGAAACTTGAATGAATTTATTCCGTCTATCTAGTTTTTATAGGCAGAATGCTAAAGAGGTGATTTTTCTAGAAAAAAAATTGGAGAGTGAAGTCAGATGCTTTCATGTCAGTTTTAGAGTTATGCTTTTGCGAGTGCTCTCTGTAGAAAACTGAATCTTACAGCCCTCCTTTTACCCAACTGTTTTACAAGAGCTAAGTGTTGTATATCTTTTCATCATTGAAATTAGATGGCTGTCTACTAATTAGTCACTCCCCAAGAGGTTTCCATCATGTTGTTAGAGCTCTTAAGGGCTTCTAGGCCACCTGCTGCTGCTGTTGTTCTCACCACCTGGGCAGAGCTCATCTGGCCACTCAGATTCCCTGGAGGATATGTGATTGTCAGGTCCCCAAGGTCTGATTACTGGTAGAAGAGGATTCTGAGACTCAAGTCCACCCTGTGATAACACAGTACTTACAGTGATTGTACCATTATTATGACTTGCTGTCTTCCCATAAAAAAGTTTTTAAATTCTTTTGTAATGTATGTGGATTTAAATCTAAGACCTTTGTAGAAAAAAGCAAAGCTTTCTAATATAAGTCCTGATATTATGTATTCCCCTTTCCCCAAGTGAAATGATGAACATAATTTGTGTGGAATTTAAGACATTTATTGAATGGAGGAATTAGGAACTTCTTTGACGTCTGCAGTCAAAATCACCTGTTCCAAGGCAGCTTTGGTCTGGCATCTTGTGTTTAAGTCAATGTGATATTGATGCTGACTCTCCTGTCTCAGTTGCAGCAGTTACTCACAGACCTTCCTCATGATATGCTGGACGATGACCTGTCCTCCCCCGAGCTCCACTACTCGGACTTCAGCGAGAATGGCATGGAGGGAGAGTAAGGACCTGAAATCACTTTCATTTGTATATTACAATTCTGTAAATCTCTTTCTTTTGCTTTTCTGCAGGTAATAATAATGTATATGATTATAAAATTGTAGACCAATTCTTAAACTTTTAGATGAAGGTTGGAGGGAAAGCATGTTAAAATCTTGGGGTTCTTTGTAATATCTATGTCCAAATAAATGATAGGCTCTAAATCTCAAGTATTGATTTTTCTCAAGACCACATCGTTCTGAGCAATCGGAGATGAACTGGAATGAGCGTCAAGTGCTGCCTAAATCTCAAAGTGTAAGTCTAAGTATCCGATGTGATAATGACTTTGATGAGGGTGGGAACAGATCTTAGTGCTTTTGTTTTACTCTCGTTATCTAATAGGAGTATAAGATTCAAGATTTATATACTGGAGAGAAGAGTGGCAATGGCTGGGAAGAGAATCAAAGTGAAACTGAACGCCAACATCCTGGGTACTGTCTCGAAGAAGGTGGAGATGAAGGTGGAAGTGGTTATAGTCCTCCAAGTAAATATGAACAGGCTGATTTATATCACCTTCCTGAAAACTTCAGGCCATATACCAATGGTCAGAAGCAGGAATTTAATAGCCAACCAACCAATGTAATTAAAATTTCAGATCCTCAAAGGAATCATTTTCAGGTATTGTCAGAACTTGACTTTCAAGAATTTCTGTATGTGTGCTCATGTATTTGCTTGTACGTGTGTTTTTAAGAAATGTGTGTAAGTGCAATGGTAAGATTTGTTTTAAGTACAAAAATTTCTGAGAGTGCATTTATTCAGGCTTATGCTAAACTAGTCATGCTATTTTCTGTTTATAGTCTAATGAAATCATCTTAAGTCAAAATTTTAAAATAAAGCCTTTAGGGAAATAGTTAATTAAACATTCAAAGTTAAGTCTCAAAGAAGAACCATCCTCATTTACTGCTGCTTCTGGCTTCTATCACTTCACTATGTTTCGTTGAGAAGCTACATATAGGGTATCTTGATATAGTTTTAAAAGCAGTAAATCTGTTTAGATGTCACCTGTTCCCTTGATTTTTCGCTCACCAACCTTATAACAATTTTTAGGTCAAACACTTCAAAGCTGATATCTGTTTTGTGATGATATAGCAGTAGACAGGATGAATGTTAAGGAAAGAAACACTTTTTTTTTTTAATCCTGGGAGAGTTGAATGAGGTAAGATCTTAGGATACGGTTAGCTGTTTCTTAGACTTTCTCCATAACAATGAATGCCTCATTTTGCCAATAGCTATTCTGTGTCATTCAATGACAGGATGATTTTTTGGTCTCTTTAAGGTTGTCATTTTCTCTTACTTGTATCTCTATAAAATGTTCTTCATTCCACAAAAGTTATTGTATATTTATTACATATGAGACATTGTATCACATGTTCTTGTTATTGAATATGTGCATTTTTATGTTCCCAAGATATTGGCATCATAGAAATTGTTCTTAAATATTTGTATACAATCTTATTGGAATTCTTGAGTGTTATTTATGGAATTGGCCCCATAATGCTCAAAAGTACAATTAAGATGTGTGCTATATTGCAGACTTTCAATGAACAGTGTTAAATAACAATAAGTGCTATTTTTAGCAAAGATGTATGTATACAATTTGTAATTGTACCACAATCAAGTTCTGTAACAAAATTAAGGTATCTAATTTAGATAATTTTTGAAGAAAAGGCCAAAGCCTAATTGTCAATTTCATTTATCATCTTATAATAGCAATTTGGTACATCACAAGGTCCCAGTTGTCAACCTTTGGAACCATATAAAGTGACATATAAACCTTATCAATCTTCTGCCCAGAATAATGGCTCACCAGCCCAGGAGATAGCAGGAAGTGACACATTTGAAGGCCTTCAACAACAATTTTTAGGAGCTAATGAAAGTATGTATCAAGTTTATATTCATTTCTTACTGCATAGTTGGAAAATTTTAAACCCCTTGAGCATGTTCAACAAATTTTTTTTGAAGTATGATATGGAATTGTGGTTGATTTTTTTTTTCAAAGAGCTCTTATTTTTAAAGATATATCCTGAAATATTTATGAATAAACTGGTATGAAGTCTAGGATTTACTTCAAATAATACGTTGTTGGGGGATAGTGTTGGGTGGGAATATAGAGAAAGCAAGACTGGCGATGAGTTCATAATTGTTGCATCTGGGTGATGGGTTCATGGGATTCCTTGTGCTCTTCTCTCTACCTTCTTATATAGTTGAAATTTTCCATAGTAAAAAATTAAAAGAAACTTTTCTCAACTGCATATTTCAGTCATTCTGGTTGGTTAAGACTTTTCATTAGCTTTTTCTTTTCTTTCTTTTTTTTTTTTTGTGAGGAAGATCCACCCTGAGCTAACATCCATGCTAATCCTCCTCTTTTTGCTGAGGAAGACTGGCTCTGAGCTAACATCCATTGCCAATCCTCCTCCTCCCCCCCCCTCCCCAAAGCCCCAGTAGATAGTTGTATGTCATAGTTGCACATCCTTCTAGTTGCTGTATGTCGGACGCGGCCTCAGCATGGCCGGAGAAGCGGTGCGTTGGTGCAAGCCTGGGATCCGAACCCAGGCCGCCGGTAGCGGAGCGCACGCTCTTAACCGCTAAACCACGGGGCCGGCCCACTAGATTTTCTTACTAAAGGCTAATTTTGAAAATGAAATAATTTCCCTTCAATCTAGATTTTTCATTATGTAGAAGTGTAATTTAGTAAATCAGCCATTATCATCTTAAGTTTTTTCTTTTTAGAGTTTTAGTGTTAACTAGGCAACTCTGATATAAATTAGTTTATATTCAGAATTTAAACAAGACTTATATTTCAGGTTTTAGTTGTGTGGCACTTGCCAGAAAAATTTCTTTTGTGTAGTATATGTATAAATATGAGAATAAGAAAAGTGCTACTAGAGAATTTTTTTTTTAATATTTATTTATTTATTGCCTGTGTGTGTGTGTGTGAGGAAGATCAGCCCTGAGCTAATATCCATGCTAGTCCTCCTCTTTTTGCTGAAGAAGACTGGCCCTGAGCTAATGTCTGTGCCCATCTTTCTCCACTTTATGTGGGACACCGCCACAGCACGGCCTGATAAGTGGTGCATCGGTGTGCGCCCGGGATCTCAACCCAGGCAGCCAGCAGCGGAGTGCGCGCACTTAACCGCTACACCACAGAGCCGCCCCCTACTACTAGAGAATTTTGAGGCGATGAAACGTCCAGAACCAAAAACCAAATTGTCCTGTGACTAACCTGAATTAATGTTTTCATGAATCCAACTTTTATTGTCACACTCTGCGGCATGTGAAATAACTTCTAATTATTGTGTACGTTGAAGAGCCAGTGTGATTCTGGAGTGTGACAGCAAGTTTTTTGTTTGTTTGCTTTCCATTTACGCAGCCGGGGAAAAGTCATATTGGATATTCTGGGTTTCCTGGGCTACGCCAAAGAGAAAACTCGACTCCATGCTCTGACTTCACGCACTGCTTCCAGCAGACGCTGGGGCTGCAGGGTGGCTGTAGGGGGAGGCCAGAGCTCGCTTTCCCCCGAAGCAGTCAACAGCAAGTGTGGGGTGGCCTCTCTTTGTTCCTAAGTTTCTGTGGACCGAAGAGATGAGGGAGTGGACAGCGTGCGGCGTAACTGGTTTTAGGTTGAGTAAAGACACACCGCAACAGTGGCCTGGCAGCTCAGTGTTGACTCTTTCAGCTCCCCTGTGTTCGGTTACGCTTATGTCTCCTGGTCTTTCTGCATATACAACCTCTCATCACTTTCTTAACAATCTGCATTTTATCAAGATGATTTTATTTTTTAAGTCAGTTACACATTTGCCTAAATTTAACATTTGGAAGTTAATTAAATAACTTAGTGGTAGTGCCGAACTTAGCGATTACATCTTCTTAGCAACAGTGGTTAAAAAAAAGTGAGTTTGAAGAGAGATGGGGCTTGTAGAGTGTTTATTCCTGGGCTAACCCTGCTCTACGGCCTGAGAGGAGTTTGACTTGTAACCAAGTTTTCAGTTTTTTTGGTTTCAACCATATCTCTTTTTAAAAAGAGGACTGCTTTATTTGTTAGCAAGTAGAAGCATTGTTCTAGTGGAAAATGAAGAATATTTATCATTGTGTAGTTGAAGCACTATCCTTCTCCTATGAATCATTTTTTTCCTTCTTTTCCCCAGTCATTTTTAAGTGGTCCCTAAAGTGACTTGAAGTCATTTCTGAAAGACTTCAAAATTCTTTATTAATCTGCTCATAAATTTATTAATTCAGTAGATATGTGCCAGCATAAATATGAATACAATACAATTCCCAGTCCTGCTTAAAGTATTTTGAGAAGGATTTTTAGAAATTTTCTTTAAAAATGGTGTTATAGAAGCTGATATACTTTTTTTTTTCAATTTTATGAGAACCTAGAACTCTATTCCATTGTAACTGGTATATACTTATTTTTAATTAGACAAAATAGTAGTGATTCAGGGTTATACTCTAAACTGGTGACTTTTTAAAGTTTGCTGGCAGTGACCATAGAAAGAAGTACATTTTTCATATTGTGATGTGGTCTACAGTATTTATCTATATAAATAAGTATACATAACTGAAACAGAAGTTTCACAAAATAATACTTATTCATACTACATGATGCACTCTGATATATTCTATTATATTCTATCTTGTTTTTTTAAAAAATGCTGGTCACAGTCCACTGAATTGATTTCATGCTACTCTAATGAGTTGTATCCACAGTTTGACAAACCTCTTTCCTAAATGACCACGAATTTACATTTCGGTATGCTTTTATCTAATAAATTGTCTTTAATTCCAAAGCAGATTCTGCAGAAAATATGCAGATTATTCAACTTCAGGTTCTTAACAAAGCAAAAGAGAGACAACTAGACAGTTTGGTTGAAAAGTTAAATGAAAGTGAACGTCAAATTAGATATCTGAATCACCAGCTTCTGATAATCAAAGGTAAGATCACACCTGCTGGGTGCTGTCATTTGTGAGGTACACTAGAGCTAGATGTGTTGTTTCCAATAACCTCATTTTAAATATGAAGATTAGAGAGTTGATGCATGTGGTCAGAGGGCTCATAGTGACTCAGTCAGAGGGAAACAAAAACCCAGGACTTTTGACACCTTCCTTTGGATTACTTCTCTCCAGAACATAGTATTTTGAGGTCCTTATTTTCTCCCTTCTTTCTCTTCTTTCTATTAGGCTTTAGAATCAATGAACATTATTGAACTATGCTGATAGCCTTCTGTCCTAAAAAGTTGTTGATTCCTTATGTAGTTGACCTTGGATGAAGTATTCCAGTTCCCAGAGAGGCTTGTGTTTAGTTTGCAATACATTTTCTGAGCCTACAAATTAGCATAACTTTTTAATCCAAGTAAGAATTAGTGATCCTGAACTCCTTTAGATGTGCCAAGGAGAAAACAGAGCCATATCTGGGAGAAGCACATAGAGTAAATACAGATTCAAATTATAATTGCTTACTCTTGGTGCTTTCTGTAGTTTTGGTTAACGTTGAACTTTCATTTGTGGAATAATTTTGTGGCTGAATTCCAGCTCATTTCAAACTTAATTGATAGTGAAAAGGTCTCTTTCTGTAATGCTCATAAAATTTCTTTTGAGAGGAGAACTTGTGAGCTCTTATAGTAAAGTACGTGGGAAGATTTTAAGATTAGGTGAATTTAAGAGTTTATTGCAAGTATGTATAAGAAGTAATTTGTCCTCAGATTCCTTCTTTAGTTAGCAGGGGTTTGTCGCATCTGTGTAGCTTCTCAAGTAAACAAATGTTGAAATCATTGTTAGGAAATCTTTTGGTCCCAAAAGGGATACAATAAGATCTTTGAAGGGAGTAGTTCTGGTTATCTAAATTTTTTTGTGTGTCGCTCAGGCCTTCTTTTTTGAATCTTTTCTATAATTTTCTCTAAATCAACTAAAGTTCGTTGTCTGAATTGAATTAAATGCGCAGCAACATTTATATGTGATATAGATCTGCCATCTGATAGAGATTGTGACAATTGGGGTCCCTCTACAGTAACATATTATGTATATAAACATTTTTAATGCCCTAGATGAAAAGGATGGTTTGACCCTTAGCCTTCGAGAATCACAGAAACTCTTTCAGAATGGAAAAGAAAGAGAGATACAGCTTGAAGCACAAATAAAAGCATTGGAGACCCAAATACAAGCGTTAAAAGTCAATGAGGAACAGGTAAATATTTTATCTTGATTATTTATGAAAAAAGTTATTACAGTGAAAAGTTTAGTTACTTAATAAAACTTTTGGTATGGGTGGACTAAATTTAGAAGAACTTTGAAGTTTGTACCTTCCAACATAAGCCTGCTTTTCCTTCCTTTCCCTTGAAGGAGTGGTGCTACCATCCACCTAGTCATCTACACCAGAAATCTGGAGACGACCTCAGCTCCTCTGTTCCTCTTCATCTGTCAGCCACTAAGTTCTGTTGAATGTCCTCATTTCTGTCCACATGTCCCTAATTCAGTATTTTACGATCTATTGCAAAAGTCTCTTAATTAGTCTGTAGTCTTTTACCCCTTCCCCCAATTTTCTCTTATGGCCATCTCAGTAATCTTTCTAAAAGACAGTTCTGATTGTCTTTCCCTTGCTTAAAGACTTTCAGTGAACCCACTTTACCTGTAGGACAAAGTATGGCGTCAAGATGACCATCTGATCCTTGCCTATGTCTTCTCTTCCTCTCCTCAAACTCAGCAGTTTGTTGTTTTTTATATACCTGTATGTGCCGTCTCCTCTCTCTGGAATGCCCTTTCCACAGCACACTGCTGTTTGATTAACAAGCACCTGCTCATGGATTTTCTTTTCCTAAGTCTCTCCTACTTTCCTCCCAAGCCAGATGATCACATCTATTATAACAGACCAAGAACACCTTGGAGGTAAGATTGGGCTGCCCTCTTCTTTGTAGCCCTACCACCCAGGCCCAATGCCTGGTGGTCAGCAAATGTTGAGTGAACATTGTTTTCAAAATTGACCTAACCTATATATTTTTTCTTATATATTTCTCTATTCCTGCTCATATACTATCACAACTTTGACTTTATGGTGTGTTTTGATATTTGGAGAACAAAGGCTACGCTTAATATTCTTCAAAAATTTTGCAACTTTTTCACATTTTTTCTTCTAGATCCTGTGAATCAACTTCTCATATTTTGTAAAAAATCTTGTTGGGATTTTGATTAGTGAGGCATCATGTTTACTATTTTATAAATGAGTTAACCAAGGCTTGGAGAGGTCAAATTACTTGCCCAAGGTTACAAAGCCAGTTATTGACAAAGCGTCAGAACCTAGATTCCCTGACCCCAATAGACTTGCCTTTAAAGTGGTGGCACATTCTTTGATTAAGGAGATAGATAGCCATTTATTGTTGGAAATAGTCACAAGTCATCGGTAGCCAAGTCTGATGGTGGGCGATTCATGAGAGTAATACCATTTTGTGGGGGGTGAAGGGGGGTAGTTAAAAATGAAAGTGACGGGCCGGCCCCGTAGCATAGTGGTTGGGTTTGGCGCACTCTGCTTTGGTGGCCTGGGTTCACGGGTCTGGATCCTGGGCATGGACTTACAACACTTCTCAACCATGCTGTGGTGGCGACCCACATACAAAATAGAGGAAGATTGGCACGGATGTTAGCTCAAGGCTAATCTTCCTCACCAAAAAAAAAAAAGTGACTATAAAATAGTGAGCTTGGTTTTAAATGAGATATATGGCTAGTTCAGAGGATCGTTTAATGGAAGAGTTTAAACAATGTTGTCTCATGTCTGGCTCCTTCTCATCCTTCAGGTCTCAGCTGAAAAAAGTCACCTTTTCAGAGAGGACTTCCCATCCACCTTATATCTAAAGTAGCCCATAGCACCATACTCCCACTCTCTTTCATCGTGCCATATTCTATTACTCTGTTTTAAAAGTATCTGAAATTGTCTCCTTTGTTCACTTGTTATTGTCTGTCTCTTCTCACCAGACAGTAGTAAGAGCCTGGTCTTCACCTGTCTTGTCATCGTGTCTTTAGTGCTTAGAACCCTGCCTGGCACAAGGTAGCTGCATTATTTATTGAGCAAATGAAAAGTGTCTTAAGCAATAAAAGCAGTATTGGAATAAGTAGGCAATCTCTGGAATAGAATGAAGAATAATTATTTGGAATTTTAATTTTTGTGTGTGATGTAGATTATTAGCGTTTTTAACTTTTTGAAAACTGATCAAGTTATTAGATTAAAAAGTTGAATTGCTTTTATATGTAAAAGGTTATAACTTTGTAATCTTTTTCTAAGTTAGAAATGGCATTTATAAAAAATAGAATAGCATAAAAAAATAAATAAAAGCAGCAAAATCACCAAGTTTATTGGTTTCCTTGCTGCTGTAACAGGTTACCACAAACTTAGTAGCTTAAAACAACACAAATTTATTATTCCGCAGTTCTGGAGGTCAGAAGTCTGACATGGAGCTCACTGGGCTAAAATCAAGGTGTCAGCAGGGCTGTGTTGCTTTTTGGAGGCTCTGGGGAAGAATCCATTTTCTTGCCTTTTCCAGCTTCTAGAAGCCAGTTGCATTCCTTGGCTTATGGCCCACTTCCATCTTCAGAGCCAGAAGTCACTGGTTCTGACTTTTCTGCCTCAGTTTTCCTCTTTTAAGGACCGTTGTGAATACATTGGGCCCACCTGGTTAATCCAGGATTATCTCCTTATTTTAAGGTCGTCCAACGAGCAACTTTAATTTGGTCTACAACCTGAATTTTCTCTTGCTGTGTAACATAACATGTCCACAGGTTTGGGGGATTAGGATGTGGACATCTTTGGGGAGCTATTATTTAGCCTACTACACCATTATTTTGCAACAACTATACAGTTATAGCTTTCAGAACTTTGTTTTTAGTAAGTGACCATTGACAGATTTCATCAGTCTTTTAAGAAACAGTTGTCATGTTTCTGTGACCTAACAATTGGATCGCCCCCCACACTTGGCTCACAGAGCAGTGCAAACAGCACTGGGAGCAGTATAGTAGCAGCAGATTCCTTGCCTGGGACCCACATTGCCATCATGCTGTGCAAAATCTTGCACTCTCCTCGGGTAACTACAGATTTTTTTCTAAGTGAATGATGTCTCCAGCAGCCACAGGCCTGGTGGGTCTCAGCTAGGGAAGTCTTAAGGAACTAGAGCCACCATGGGGAGACCTTTTCTTCCTTTCTCATTAGAGCATGGTTGATTTTTAAAGTCCATAAGAGAGCACAAAGTCAAAATACTGTAAACATGGATATCCCGTGTGTGTTTACTAGATGATTAAGAAGTCCAGAACAACTGAGATGGCTCTGGAAAGCCTGAAGCAGCAGCTGCTGGACCTTCATCGTTCTGAATCACTTCAACGCACTAGAGAGCAGCATGAGAGCATTGTCATGGGCCTCACAAAAAAGTACGAAGAGCAAGTGTTGTCCTTACAAAAGAAATTGGATGCTACAGTTACTGCACTTAAGGAACAGGTGGGGATGATTTCAAATGAGCAACTGTAATAAGCAAGTAAAGTTGGTTATTTTTTGTAACTGACATTTTGTGGTTCTTCATGTAGAAATTTTGGATGTTTGCAGTAGGTATTCGATTGTGAGTAAAACTTAAAAGCCAAAGATTTTTATCTATGAATACGCTGTGAAGGCATAATTTTGGAAATCCTCCCTCTTGTAGGATTGGTTAGTACTTTCTCAATCCTCACATTACTAGTCCTTTATTTGTGGAGTATTTATACATATTGTTCATATTCTCCTAGAATAAATCCAGATGGAAAGGAATGAGTGTTCTGGGAGCTGGCTGAACCTGAGAGGTTGTCCTGGGAGCTTAACCAGTAGAGAAAGCCTTTCTTGGGTTTCCCAGCATTTAGTAATAAACCTGTCAATAAAGATTGTCTAGAAATTGTTCTTGGGAGAAGAGTTAATTTTGAGAATAGTGTAATAAATAAAATAGGGAAGAAAGTCTGATCTAAAATCACTAAGATTTGAAACTGGAGCATATTTCATAGTTTTTATTATTTTTGCCCAAAAGGGAATAAAATATTATAAGCTGAGGGTGAGTCATGTGGTGGATTTGCTTGTGCTCCAAAACCCCAGGTAATCACTTGAATGAATAAAATTTCAGAATGCATTTTTCTTAATGTAATTTCAAAATCATCTTAACCCAAGGGAAGAGAAGAAGAAAAATAAGATGTGAGGGTATGGAAAACCCCACTACACTTAAACGTCATCCTGATTTATTTCTTATTTATACAGCTGACTCTAAATTTTTCCATGATTTAGATAGAGCTATATAAGATTGCATTATTGGCAATAATAGTTGTTTGTATACCATTTTATTTTTATATCTATTTATATGAGTTTTCATTAGATTTATTTTCCTAAATATGTTTTTTATTGTTTCTATATAGAAAAATATTGTGAATTTGGTCAGTGTGGAGGGTGGGGAAAGACAAAGGCTATGCCAAATTATTGAATAGTCTACTTTATATGATATTTAAACAAATGGAATTTGAGATATAGTTTTATTAATTTTGGCTGTGTTTGAGTTGTAGCATTAAGTTAGCTGAACTTGGAGAGTGGTCCTCCTTGGATGATGAGAGGAGCGGAGTCTGGTGGCTTCTTCATGTTGGGTTCAGGATCTCTCCGTTCTCTGCTGACTTAGACACAATTACAGAACAGAGGGCTGGAAGGAATTTCTAGTGTGTACAACCCCTGTGCCCACTCCATTCTCTATTCTCAGCCCCACCCCACCCCTACCCCCTTCAATAACCCCCTAGACCAGAACACGGAACAAAGTCTTGATTGTGGGCTGACTGCCTTCAGACTTCTGAACCATGAATTGAAGGTATTGATTAAGGTGTTTTCCACAGTTACGTTCTGTGACTGATTTTTTTTTTTTTTTTAAACAGAGCATAGCACTGATGTTAGCTTCTGCAGATGATTGCATAACTGCTTTGCAAAGTGGTGATTCCAAAGTGCTTACAGTTTTTTCCTTCTGGGCATATTTCTCATGGTATCCCTTTTGTGCTGTCAATTTGCTATCAATTGGCTCAGCAGTATTTTTAATAAAAGGTAAATCCATATTATCTCAGAATCCAAATTGAGATTTCTGATCGGAGAGGTGCTATAAAAATCAACCACGAGCTAGGGAGATGCCTGCCTGTAATCAGAAAAATGCATGAGTGTGCTCTACACAGAGAGGGTTGATTTAGATTTTCTTACAATATCTGGTAACCATACATACATGCTGCCTTGTACCTCTTTTTGTTTATAAAAGTTATTGAAGAGGTGTAAAATATTTCCCTTTCAGATCAACCTTTTCCCACTACGCTCAATCCAGCAAGTTACAAAGAAAAGTAAAACAACTCTTAGAAAATAGTAGGCAGGTACAAATAACTGGATAATTTAGCAGACGAACTTGAGTAAGTTTGCCAATGTCTAGGTTCTGAGTGGCTCTCATGTAGTCACACACAACTGTGTACCTATGTACTATGTATTGTATGCACACAGTGCTAACAGAGTAGATATTCACACGTAGTAAGTTTTGCTAGTTACAGAGTTTCTTAACCTGGCGTCTCCTAAGGCAGTCTGTGACTAGGCTGCACAGAATTGATGCATCCTTTGAAATTGTGGGTATGCTTTTTTTTTTTGAGTGTATGCAGTTTTTTTGAGAAGATCCATGAACTTATTCTGATTTTTCAAGAGGTTCATGCCTCCCCTTGCAAAAGGTTGGAAATCACTGCTTTATGAAAATCTTTTTCTTGGTGGGAAAGGACTACCATTGTAGACTAGTCATATTATTTCGTCTGTTCAGCAAACTTTTACTGAATAACAGCTAAACATCAGGGTGTAAAAAGACTATGTACGTATATTTAATTATATTTTGTTTTTTTTGTTTTTTTTTCTTTAAGATTTTATTTATTCATTTTTTTCCCCCCAAAGCCCCAGTAGATAGTTGTATGTCATAGGTTCACATCCTTCTAGTTGCTGTACGTGGGACTCGGCCTCGGGTTGGACGGAGAAGTGGTGCCTTGGGGCGTGCCCGGGATCCGAACCCGGGCCGCCAGCATCAGAGCGCACGCACTTAACCGCCAAGCCACGGAGCCGGCCCTATTTAATTATATTTTGAAAGACAAAATTCAGTACGAGGACTGTCTAATTCCATGTAATGGGAGGAGTAGTAGGAGTTGGTTTTTTTTTTAAATGTCTAACTAGTATATTTTGAGAAATATATGGCTTGTAAAATTATACTATTAATTTAGTATTTTCCTTAAGCCATCAGCTTTTCTGGGTAGAAAGGATCGTACACAGTCACAACATTATAACAGTTCTTTTTACTTTGGCTGAGTTCCTATTGGGTTTTTTAGTGTAACAGAGAAGGTAAGAAGAAATGAGCTTCTTGGAGCTCATAGTGTTCCTTCAAAGACAGAACTCTCTAATAGCAAACTATCTCCTAGACTCTCTCCTCCAAACTGCCTTCTATCTCTCCCATTCATAGAAGTGTCATATTCTAAGATCTCTGGTTGTCTCTTCAAACTGCCTTCTACCTCCTCCCATTCACAGAAGTATCAGGTTAAGATCTCTGATTATCTCCTTGATGGTATAAAACCTTTTCTTCATTTTGGTCTTGAAATCTTCAGCTTTTGGTGAAGTCATGAACTTTTATTTCTATGTCATGACCTTCACTTGATGTATTGTCTAACTTTCCTTTAATGTTATATTAAAAGGCTCCACTTTAAACACTTTCTATTAGCTAAGAGACTCTCACAGACCTCAGTGTGTGTCCTAATCCTCAGTTTTCTGTGCACTAGAAATCTTTTCAGTTCTATTTGCTCTCATGGATTCAGCTCTTATCTCTTTATCACTACACTTGTCTCGTTCAGTCTTGAAAGATGTCTGCCTCTATCAGTCTTGAACTGAGTGTTCTCACTCAACCTAATCATGGAAAAGATGGAACCATTCATTTTGTTTTGTTTGTTTCTTAGTATTTAAACTGCACAATTTTATGAGTATAATCTGTTTCCCTAAACTTGTCAACAGGAAACAACATGGTTTAATTGATTGTTGCATATAGTCAAATTATTGCCATAATCTGCCTTTTCTTTACAATGTTTTTCATATCTACCTTTTTTTGAACTTTTTGCAAGTTCTCAGTCTCCTGTAAAAGCTATTGTGACCTCCCCAGCACATAAATGTCAGCTGTCTCCCCACCCTTCTTGCACACACATTCACACTGTCATTAATATTAGCTCATTCATTGTGTTTGCCATGTTACTTTGGCGCTTTAGAACCATGCTTTTCAAGCTGGCCTGAGAATCAGCAGCAGTGTGCCAAGAGGTTTGCAGTGCTGAATAAACATGGACCAGTTTCCAGAAGCTTCATTTTGCTTAAAAATTTGGTAGAAAAAATTTAGAGCAAACATGGCTACATTATGAAATAGAATTCAAAATTCACGTGAATTTTGAAGCTAAAATAGGAGACTTTAGAGTCCCTTCCCTCTGCGTAAGGATACTGTTAGTAGCCTTATGAGGTGTACCTTGTGTTAGTATCCTTAAGGCAATATTGGGCTTCAGGTTCTCCTATGGGTTAGGCTCCAAATGCCTTCTCTCTGCTCCAAAGCCTTGATATTCCCTCTTCTACTTATTTTCTTCAGGCTTTTTCAGGTAGCTTCAACCGCTTACCTTAATTTACTCTTCTGCCTCTCTCATCCTCTGCTATTTGCCTGGAATTCAGCCTGGGTAGCCTTTTTTGAATGAGAGGTGATGATTTCTTCTACATGGGCTTGGGACTCCCATGACTCATTACTCCCAAACACGTTTTCTTTTGAAGAAACTTGAATATATTGTATACATGCTCTATATTTTCTATATATCCCCATACAATTACACACATGCACGCATGCATGCACACACATTTATCCTGTCTGTTTTTCTTTGTCATTTATTTTTCAAGTGATTTTTTTTGTAGCACTCACTATGTATAAAGCACTGCATAGGCACCTTCAAGGGGACTATTAAGAGAAAGAAGACATAAAAGGTAGAAAGAAAAACATAAGGGAGAAACAGACCAAGTTTAAAAGGAGTTCAGGAGAGGGAGAGATTATTTTTGGCTGTTCAGAATAGAATGAGCTTTTGGTTGTTCAGAATGGAGTGAGTTTCTGTGTGTTTATCTGTATCCTTACTGTCTTGGGATACAAATTCCATGGTTCAAAGTGGTTTGCCTAAATATGTATACATACACTTATCCTGACAGTGTAAAGTGCAAATAGGAACGTAATACATTTCCGTTGGCCTGAATAGAATCTAATTTTAGAATAACAGTGTCTTGTGAATGTAGATCAGAAAGGCACTTTAGAAATCTTCTAATTTAACCTTTATTAGTATAATTACAAAAGAAAAAACAGACTGAGAAGGTGATGACTCGCCCAAGATCACATAAGTTTGTTCTCCTGACTCCCAGTCCTGTGCGCTTAGCGTTGTAGAAGAGGTGATGCTGCCAGTGATGATTTTATATTTGACTTAAAATCCAAATATGTAAAATCATGATTGTTAGTTAATATTTAATAACTGATCATGAAAATGACTTCTTAAACACTTTCTATTTAGGAAGACATTTGCCGTCATTTGAAAGATCAGGTGAAACAACTGGAAAGGAATCAAGAAACAACCAAATTGGAAAAGACTGAGATCATTAACAGATTGACGAGGAGTCTAGAGGAGACTCAAAAGCAGTGTGCCAATTTGTTGCACTCAGGTGGGTGTCTGGGTGGGCTATTGTCTCCTCAGAAGGCTAATATAATATGCAGAGAGAACAGAGGAGGATTCGTGAATTATAAAAATCCAGAAAAGACAGAAAAGATCATTGGTAACAAAATTTTTTTAACGTGGTTACTATATATGTGTAAAAGTGTACTACATTTTCATTAGAGAATTTGGAAAACACAGACAAGTAGAAAGTAGAAAGTAAAAATAACCAATAATCCTACTACTCAGAAAAACTATTGTTAATGTTTGATTGTATTTCCTTAAAGTGAAGTGAATGCACATAAGTAGACAGTTCCCTGCTTCTGTACATAGTGCATTTTTGAAAACATAACCAAAGCTGAATATGCAAAAATTGAACAATAAAATGTGTTATAAGGTACGTTCTGTCTCTAAAAGTTAAAAATGATTATAAAATCCCATTGCATTTTGCTTTTTAGATTTGATCTTTGATCATACCGTTCTATTGTTTTGTATAACTTCTTTATTTTTTTTTCCTTTAAGAGAGGGAAAAAAATACATGGTCAGTTGAAGCCAGTGAGTTACATTTTTGTCATGCTTAAGATTTCTAGTATGGTCTCCATGGTATTGAGACATATGCTTCCTATCAGTTTCCACAGTACTTCTATTTCTTATTTTATAAAATGATATTAGTGTAAAAGGCAATAAAATAATCAAATTCTATACGAACACTACCATACAGACAAAACTGCCCTATTTGCAGGTGAGTAGCTCACACTGTGAGCTATTGAAAATAGCTCAATGGTTATTCCTTAATTGATATATGAAAGTCAAAATTTGGCATATAAAGGCAATTCAGCCTTTTGGTACAATGTGTGTAAGAGTGAGTTATTCAAAAGTTGAAAGTACTAAAATCAAAGACTGTCTAAGTATGTGCCTGTGTATGTTTTGGTGGGAGCAAAATTTGGATCATACTCTCTTTAGGTCCCCTTCCCTGTTTAGTTATATATCCTTTTGTTTCACATGGCATTACTGAGTGAGCCTTTTCCCTTGCCGTTAAAGGCTTGAAAATATGATTTTCTTTAGTTGCATAATATGCCACCATTACTTTTCTTAGCCATTTCCCGGATGCTCATTTTCTTTTGAGGAAACCTAATAAAGTCCCTTTTAAATAGGAACCTCCCCTAGTACATTTAAAGTATTAGGTTACTAAAGTTTCAGAGGCACAATCTTAATATGCTTCTTTCACATGTGGAGGTAGGGGTGGTGGAAATAAAAGCATTTAGAAAGAAGCTAAAGGCAGCAAGATGTAGTCTTCTTCTTAGAGGGTAGAAATGGATTCCAAAGATTTTTGCTTTGGCTTTCTATGAGTTGAAATTTATGCTCCTGTTAAAGGACTTGTGGAGTGTTAAGGTCTGTAGAGGTAACTGATTTGATTCTTTGCAAGGTCACAGTAGCCCATGTCTTCAATTTCCCAAGGGAATATGGGGAGCCATACTAAATCTTGGAAATGTCCTGACCAGAACTATACCTTCTGGGTCCCAATGACTATCCCTTTGCGGTCCTAAAAAGATAATAGAAAGCTGATAAAGCAGAACTCCACCTTCTGTAGCCTCAGTGGATTCAAGTTCTTCTGTTCATCATAGGTACTTTGTCCCTTTACATTTGGTGTATTCCGTGATTCTTTCCCCCATAGGCTCAGTCCAGGAGGTGGCTCAGCTACGGCTCCAGCTGCAGCAAGCACAAAAGGCACATGCTATGAGTGAAAACATGAACAAGGCTTTGCAAGTGAGTGTTGCCACTTGGAAGAGACTTTATGGGTACTTGAATTAGGCCACGGTTACATCACCTTTCTGAACCTTGGATTTCTCTATATAGGAGGTGGTTGGACCATCTCGCAACCAGCCCATGAGTCATTCACAATCTCACCCACACAGTTGGGTAGTCAAGCTCAGGACTGTCTAACTGCAGAGCCAGGGCCCTGCCCCCTCCTGCCATTCCGCCTGCTGCCGCCTTCACACGGCATGTCCTTTCATCTACGGTGTGTCCCAGAGATAAACTTATCTACAGGTGTGGGGAACCTACAATTTAGCTGCAATTCTCTCACATCCTCCTCTAGTACTACTTATATTTTCCACTGGAGGAAGCGTTCCAGTATTACCTCTACTGGAAAGAGATATTTTGCCTTTTCACCGCTGGCAGAGTAAAGTACAACACTTTCTTGGCAAACTAGTCTACTCTATCCTCTAGTCTAGTAAGCCAGAAAGTGATGCCACCAGCTTCTCAGCTCAAGGAACGCTTTTCATCGGACAAAATATAAGTGAGACACGTGTGCGAAACTACTTACATTTGCTGTCTCATTCATATATTCATTCGTTCATTCAATTTACTTGAAAACCTGATACATGCTGGCCTTTATAAAGTTATTTTTAATATATGTAAAAAATGTATTTGAAGAAGCATTTCTGCTTTCTATGGATCATTAAAATGGATTTTGAAGCATAGAATGACTGATTCCTTCTTATAGGAAAATAATTTTCAATAATTTTGTGTTTTAGGAGGAATTAACAGAACTAAAAGATGAAATTTCTCTCTATGAATCTGCTGCAAAACTAGGAATACTTCCAAGTGACTCAGAAGGAGAATTAAATATAGAACTCACTGAATCATATGTGGATTTGGGTATTAAAAAAGTCAACTGGAAAAAATCAAAAGTTAAGAGGTATCGAGAAAATCATTTACTCTAGAAGAATCTACATTAATAATACTGATGATGCGTGGTAAACGAGTGGCACCAGGCACGACATGATGAGCTGACTAGGGGTTCTTGAATGTGGGACAGTAGGTTTCAGTAATTTCTAATGAGGTGTAAATTGAAATCAAAATGAACAGAAGCTTCAAGAATTGATATTGTACTGTCTCCAGTACCAATAATCAGTTTCAATAAGGTAAAAATGATTAATTTAGTTAAAATATACAAATTAACTCCTACAACTGAGATTATGTTACTCTGTTTACTATTAAGGTGAGGGCATATTATTTTTATTATGTTAACACTGTCTGTTGAAAGCAGTACTTGGCATTTGTCAATGGTATATGAAAAAATAAGCATTATTTTTCCCTAGGAACCTTAGAATAACCTTACTTTTAAAATAGAGATTCTATCTTTTATACCACTGCTTACACAGATATTTTAGCAATCTCCTGGAAGGGAGTGCTTTATTGTCCCTCCTGGGGACTGACAGGGAGGGAGTGGTGGTGGTAGAAGAGGGAGCACATTTAGGTATCATTAAACACAAAAGATGAGTGAAGGAGAGGATGTACGTTTTTAAAGCCCTTGCTATTTGCAAGGCTCTGGGAACAGAGTATAGAAGATGAGATAGAAACTCTCCTTTCCCACAAGGAGTTTACATTCTGTCTGACTGGGGAGAGTGGGACATAACTTGTAAGCAACTAAGTGCTATGGCTAAATATTATGCTTGATGTACAAAGGGGCATTGATCTGTTCCTTCTACTGGTTTGGGATGAGGAGGAAAGACGGGGTTTTCCGAAGAGATTGCATTCAGGTTAAGGAAAGCATTTCTCGAATGCATTTGACCTACACCACCCCCATCCAGTTTACAGTATAAGACTGAGTTTACCGTCTAAGACTGAGTTTACCATCATTGTTGTTTAGTGAGAATGTTTACTACCTGTTGTATTTCAGGTATCATGCAACCAAATACAAATATATAAATCTCTTGGGGCCGGCCCCGTGGCCTAGTGGTTAAGTTTGGCATGCTCCGCTTCGGCGGCCGATTTAGTTCCCAGAGGCAGACCTATACCACTCGTCGGCGGCCATGCTGTGGGGATAACCCACATACAATATAGAGGAAGATTGGCACAGATGTTAGCTCAGGGCCAATCTTCCTCAAGCAAAAAGAAGAAGATTGGCAGCAGATGTCAGCTCAGGGCCAGTCTTTCTCAACAACAACAAAAATTATATATGTGTATATATATATATTTTAGGAACTCTGATCTTGACAGATCCCAGCTGCAATCCAGAAGGAAGCAAAGAAGCAAATAGCAGAACTTGATCATGTGATGTATTTACTAGTAGCCCCCTTCAGGGTCTTATCTCAGGGCCATATTGACTTAAATTTGTTTGCACCCCATGAGTTACCTGATTTCCTAACTGACCGCAGAGTAGCTGGCTCCAGGAGTTGGGAGAGGTACTGCCAGTGCTTCAGCCAGACAGCTCAGCCTTAGCAAGGAGAGAGTTACAGGAACACAAGGTGCTGAGGCTGCTGAGCACCAGGGTAAGCAGCTTTATACATCTGTAGAGGCGTGTTCTGATCCACATGAGAATGTCCACAATCATGATCCTGCGTTGTTGAAGAAAGCCTTCGGCTTTGGTTAGTTAATTAAAGCAAAAGAGGATGAATGCGTTACATTTTTTAGACAGATTTACATAAAATTTTAAAGTTAAAATGTAGTCATCTGGAAAATTTACTGCTGTGAATGCCTCATTTTCTGTTAATGCTAGATTAATTCTAAGGGGCTAGTGGAAAGAGAATAATCTTTAGATTCAGATTTGCTTTGAACCATTGTTTTGCCATTTATTACTAACTTTATGACTTGGGCAAGATTCTTGACTTTTCTGAGCCTGTTTTCTTATCAGGTTTCTTCTGTTAAGTGGATTATAGCATATTCCTTGGGGATTAAAATGAGGATTAAAATAGATAATGAATATAAAGGACCTCAGGTCACGTGTTCTAGCACATATTGGGCACTTAATCAATAGTGGCTATTACTATTATTATTTAATAGATGACTGGTTAAAATATACCATTGATCAGATTTTATATTAATCCACTTTTAATTTAACACATACTTTTATAAAAAGTTCTTGATCCTCATCTCAACCTTGGGAAAAGTTGGATCCATATTATCATTTTAGAGTTGGGAAAACTCTAAGTGAGCTCTAAATTGGAGCTCAAAGAGCTGAACTCTTTTGCCCAAGAAGACAGACCATTAGCAACAGAATCAGTGATTGAACCCTAAGCTTTATTGTCATGTAAATCTGTTAGTTCATATGTACACAACAGTCCAACCGTTTTGCCTTAAACTTCATTCTTCATGTCTTTTATTTATTTATTTATTTTTTTATTTTATTTTAAGTTTTTTTTATTTTATTTTATTTATTTATTGTTTTTCCTCCCAAAGCCCCAGTAGATAGTTGTACATCATAGTTCCACATCCTTCTAGTTGATGTATGTGGGACGTGGCCTCAGCATGGCTGGAGAAACGGTGCGTCGGTGCGCGCCCGGGATCCAAACCCGGGCCACCAGCAGTGGAGCGCGCATACTTAACCGCTAAGCCACAGGGCTGGCCCTCTTCATGTCTTTTATTTTAGAGGATTAAAGATTTAGTTTATGCCAAAAAAGATTTCTGTCCATTTTGTTATTACTTTATTTTAGTTTGTGCCATAATTAGCCTGGGAATTGGGTAAATAATGCATTTATTTATATATATGTTTATCTTTTCAAGTAGACTTACTTCATCATGATGAAGTGACTTCATCATTTATGACTTCATCATTATGACTTCATCATAAAATGATGTCGACTGCTTTGCCCTTTCTATTTAATTAGACCTCCTAGCCCAAATCACGTAGTAATTTAAAGCACTTTTCTATAGATAATAAACATGAGACATCACATCACTATCGTAGTACAAGGAACGCCAGCCACACTCAACTGGGAAAGTGGAAATAACTAAAGCACAAATGGGTAGTCATTGAAGTTCAGCAAGAAAACATTCGATAAAATGCAGGATAAGCGAAGAAAGATTTAGCTTATCCCACCCACCAGCAGTTTAATAGATAAGAATTCGGCTTTGAGGAAAAAGGAAAATATTTATTCTTAGATCAAAGTGAGAAGAGATATAGTAGAGAAGAGATTTGTACCTTGCCTCTCTTGGACTGTGATCGTTATAACAAGAGGAAGCAACGCTTTTCCCAGTGTCGAGAATTTTAGTTCTTTGTTGACTTGAGCTGCTTTCAAATCACTGACCCAAATATTAGCGGCTCCAAGCTTTTATTCCCAGCTACCACCTCCCTTAAGCTACCGCCTAGTAAATTTTAAGGGTTTAGCCTCAGTCTTCTGTTTCGCATTCATGGAATTTGAGTAGCTAAGTCTGCATGCAGCTTGCAGACAGCTTCTCCTCTCCCTTATTATAGTTGGCTGCGAAGCTCAAATAATAAACATTTAACAAGTGGAATGCCTTTTGCCTTTGGTCTTCTCAGCAGGCTTCATAAGGATCTACAGTTTATTTGGATTTAGGGGAACCGACTTCCACAGGGCTCAGTAGTGAGCCTCATGCAGGACTGGTCACCACCACTGACTTTTTCTCTTTTGGGAAAGAAGGGAAAATTATTTTAGCAAGTACTTTCTGTGCTTTCTGACTTGGCTACCTCTAGGAGTACATGATGTGCTATTTCAGTGGTCAGCATTCAGTAAGAAAAGAAATTAGGGGTGCATAATTTGTTAACTGAGAATAATAAATGTCCTGCTTAAACTTAGTTCACCATGTGTTACAGCACAGGAAGATGCATTGTAATATACTTTATATTTCTTATATAACTATATTTCTACTTCTTATATTTACATATTTCTGTTTATATAAAATAGAAGTGGTTCACATAGATGGAGAGCTATATATATAGATATTTACACAATATATATTACATATACAAAGGTTGTGTATATTGATAAATATATAGCATATTGCAAGAAGCTAAAAAACTATTTTGTTCATTCTCTCTCTGTATACATTTGTGTGTGTACACATAATGTATATTCTAACATTTCATTTGGAATCATCTGAAACTGAAAAACAGTAAAAATTTTAACTAGGATCCTATTATTTATTTCTTTTTTTAGAAATAGACTTATTTTTACAACAGTTTTAGATTTACAGAAAAATTAATATAGTACACAGAGTTCCCATGTACTCTGCACCCATTTTCCCCTATTAACATCTTACACCAATGTGGGACATTTGTTACAATTAGTGAACTAATATTGATACTTTATATCATTAACTAATGTCCATAGTTTATTTAGATATCCTTAGTGTTTACCTGATGTCCTTTTTCTGTTCCAGAATTGCATCCAGGATACCACGTTACATTTAGGAGTCATGTTTCCTTAGCTTACACTTGACTTTCCTTGTTTTTGATGACCTTGACAATTTTGAGAAATACTGATCAACTATTTTGTAGGAAGCCCCTCTTTTGGAATTTGATGTTTTCCTCATGATTATGGTTTCTTCATGGGTTTTGTGGAGGAAGACCACAGAGATGAGGTTCCATTTTCATCACATCATATTAAGGGTACATAGTATCAACCATTTATTTCTTTTTAAAAGTAACTTTCTTCTTTACTATAGAAAAATTAGAAAATATAGATTAAGAAAACAGAAGTAAATTAAAAGTGCCCATAATCTTACTTCACCTCCCATGAAGAAAACCACTATTAACATTTTGGTATATAACTTCCACATTATCTGTTTTGATGTTTCTAAAAGACAATAATATTGGATATACTGTTTTATAATGTGTCTTTTAACTTAATACATTCTGAAATCTTAAGATGTCAATAAATATTGCTATATATGTTTACTGATGGGTATGTGGATGAATGTACTATATTTTAATTAGTAATACACTGTTGTTTAACA